TCAAAAATTTATAGGGAACTATACAACTTAACAAAAGGAAGATACACAATCCAATCAGAAAATGGGCAAAAGACCTTAATAGACACTTTTTGAAAGAGGACATACAGAACGCAAGAGACTTGTGAAAACATGCTCAAAGTCACTAATCATATGGTAAATCAATAAAATATATTAAAAAAATTATTTTCAATGCTATTTCATAACTGCAATGTTGCTACTGTTATGAATCATAATGTAAATATCTGATATTCAGGATGGTCTTAGATGACCCCTGTGAAAGGGTCATTCGACTGCCAAAGGGGTAGCGACCCACAGGTTGAGAACCACTGCTCTATAGGCAGAAAAATAGCAGACATATGTCATAGCAATATATTTACTGATACAGTTCCTAGGGCAATGGAAACTAAGGAGAAAATAAACAAATAGAACTACATCAAAATAATAAGTTTCTTCACAGCAAAAGAAGCCATCAACAAAACAACAAGAAAGCCCACTGCATGGGAGAACATATTTGCCAATGATAAGGTTTAATCTCCAAAATTTACAAAGAACTCATACAACTTAACAAAAGGAAGATAAACAATCCAATAAAAAATGTTCAAAGGACCTAAATAGACACTTTTTGAAAGAGGACATACAGAACGCAAGAGACTTGTGAAAACATGCTCAAAGTCACTAATCATATGGGAGAGGCAAATCAAAACAACAATGAGGTACCATCTCACACCTGTCAGAATAGCTATCATCAACAGATCAACAAATGAGAAGTGCTGGAGAGGATGGGAGAAAAAGGAACCCTTGTGCACTGTTGATGGGAATGCAGACTGGTGCAGCCACTGTGGAAAACAGTATGGCATTTCCTCAAAAAATGAAAAATGGAACTTACATTTGTCCCAGTAATCCCACTCCTAGGAATGTAACCAAGAAAACAGAAACACCAATCAGAAAGGATATATGTACCCCTATGTTCATAGCAGCACAATTTACCAATAGCTAAAGCTTGGAAACAGCCTAAGTACCCATAAGCAGATGAGTGGATTAGAAAACTGTGGTACATCTACAAATGGAATTCTATGCTGATGTAAAAAAAGAAGGAATTCTTACCATTTGCAACAGCATGGATGCAACCAGAGAACATTATGCTAAGCAAAATAAGCCAGTCAGAGAAAGATAAATATCACATGATCTCACTCATTTGTGGGATATAATGAACAACATAAACTGATGAACAAAAATAGAACCAGAGACACAGAACCATCGAACCGACTGTCCAACCTATGAGGGAAAGTGGGGAGTGAGGCGGTAAGTGATCAAGCAAAGGACTTTTATGCATGCATATGGGTAAAACCAATGGACACAGACAGGAGGAGTGTGAAGGCTTATGCTTGGGTGACGGGGTGGTGAGGGAGAGGTCAATTGGGGAAAAAGGAGACTCATGTAATACTTTAAACAATAAAGAATTAAAAAAGAGAAAATGAAATTTAAGACATATGATACTTAAAAATAATATCAATCAGAGAAAGGAGAAATATGTACATATCTGTAGGGCTTCATGTACAAGGTCCAAATTTGTAAGCCTAAAAAGGTATCATATATTTTAAATACAACTAAGGATAATTTTATTTAAAATAAGTGCTAATGTGCAAAAGTCAAGATGAACACAGTTCCTCAGGAGTAAGAGCAACTTATATATTTTCTAACTGAGACCATTGCTAATGGTTAAAAAATCAAAGAGTAAATTCATTGGGAGCCATCCTATGGCATCTCCTGCTATATACCCAGGTTGTCCAGTGTGTTGGCATGAGGTACTCTATCAGTTAGTATCCGCTGGAGAGGGTGTATTGCTCAGACTCCACTTTGATTTTCATAACCTTTCTCAACCATTTCCTGTATTGCTCCCGGACCTGCAGAGGCAAAGCATGCTCTGAGTCAGCCCACTGAGAGGAGTGAGAGTGGAAAGAGTACTGGGTGGGAGGTGGACAGTGGTACCTGCTGGCTGAGGAGACAGTACACCAGGAAGATGAAGACGCCCTGCAGGCTGTTGATGATGGTGAAGAGATAGGCCATGGCGTGAGCAGCTGGACCCACCTGCAGGATTCCCAGACACCACGTGCAGCCCAAGATGAAGAGCTGAGCTATCGCTTTAAATGTCAGCATCCTGGGTAGGAGGAGAAGAGAGGCCCATGGTGCACCCAGAGCAACAGAATTAAGGCCATTCTCATCTCCACCCGATGAATGCTCCTGCCTTCCCCTGTGGGTGACGAGTTTTCAGACTGCATTGTGATCAGCTTTGACCTTTACCGTCAATGGTTCTCCACAATAGAAATGCTACTTGGGTCCAGGATGGCATCTGGATTGAATTGAGTAGGGTTGTGACACTTCATAATGTAAGTTTCAAAAAAAAAATTCTATAATGCTTCATGGTGATGCCTAATTTTATCTAACTAACATTACTAAGTGTGTTCTGTGCATCAGGCTGTGTGCTGGGGCCTGGACATTAAAGTCACAGAGGCAAGATTTCTATTTTCATAAAGGTCACAGGCTATTCCAATGAAAAATACAGCAGAATAATGACATGAAAAATGTAGAAAGGACACTGGAGAGGGGTGAGAAGGAGCCTGACTGAGAGTGGGTATGGAAGTGCAGACTGGGTTGTGGGAGGAGTCACAGATCTTTCTAAGTGAACACAGGTTCTTTGTACTTTTGTTGTAGAACTGCTGATTGTTTATCATAGGTTGATTGTTTATCAACCAATGTCAATTCCTCCTGTTGCTGAGGGAGTTACAAGATGGGATTAGAGACAGAACATTGTGGCCAGGAAGTCAGCAGCCCACCACCAAGTCCAAGCTGGCTGCCATTGGAGGACAGCTGCATCTCTTTACTCTGGGTTCCCTCAGAAGACCCCGAGAAGGGGCATCATGGATGCTGAGGCACATGGATTTGCTCTTGGGACCACACATGTCTGTGGGGTTGTCACCTTCTTCTCCATTTTACCTTGTATTCTTGAGGGTGGACACATCACTGTTGAGCGAAGAGAGTTTGCTTTTCAAAATCCAGAGGGCCATCAGAAAGAAAGCTAGATTGACCTTCAGCAGGTTTATTGAATTAAATTTTAGTTTGTTTTCTTTAGTCTAGCCCATCGAACAGAAATTCCACAATTAAGAACTTTTCATATTTAGTAACAGTGTTAGAGCTTGTACTTTTAGGAAGAGTCTTAGAAAACCAAAGCAAACCCAAGACAACCCACGACATTCTTGTTCATGTCATCCTCCCCCCTCCTTATAATTCTAATGACCCTCAGCTGAGTGTTAAGGATGCTCTGCTGTCTTCACTCACAAAGAGGATGGCGCAGACTGGTCCAAGGAAGCCCCATATAAATCCCTTTTCTGGGTGGAGCCAGCAGCTAAGAAAGAGAGAGAATTAAAAATGCATTGGCCCTTAAAAATGAAGAAAAATTATGCAAATTCATTCATTAATTTATTCATCAACAAACATTGAGTGTCTCTTCTGTGATAGGCTCTGTGCTTGGCTTTGAAGATACCGTCATGAAGAAAGCAAGCATGGTCTTGAATCGTACACAACTCACAGATAAAGAAATGGGAATTTGCTTTTACCGGGAAGGTGTTCCGTAAAGGTGAGGCCTGGATGCTGCAGAAATGGCCACAATCACAGCTGGGACTCCGTAGCCCACAGGGAGCATGACCTTCCTCATGAACCTGCTCACACTGGAGTAGTTGACCACCGTCAGGTTGCGCGCGGTGAGGAAGAGGTGCAGGCCCTCCAGCAGCATCCAGGTGAAGGAAGCCAGGTAGAGGTAGTGTAAGGCGCCCGCGATGATGGCGCACAGCACCTTGGGAGGGGTGAGTCACCAGGTGGGATTGCCAGAGTGGACCATGGCCCCAAGACCTCTCCTATACCTTGCCATTTGGGAGAACTCTGTTGACTATAAAGGAATTGTCAAAAGAAGGT